GCAAAGCAGCAGCAACAGCAACAAACTAACAACAGCAGAAGCAGCAGGAGCTGAGAAACTCAATGCCAATCCAGCCACACCAAAGCTCCAGCACCAGTAGCAAAAAAACAAACTAACGAGGAGGGAGGAGAAGCTCGATCCCGATACGAATCCAATCACTCGAAGCCCCGGTAGAACGAAGCAGAGGAGGGAGAGCCGGGTCTTAAAAGCCAATGAAACGCAAGGTTACTGAGGCAACCTTTCGTTATATTTGCTTCCCCAATCTAGAAAACACTAACATCTATTCACCCCAATGAAACTGACCGGATCACCTCACAAGCCAAAAAGCAGCAAGCAAGCAAGCAAGCAAGGTAGCAGATGTAAGTCAAAAATGTCAACCAACAGCTATACGACGGGGTGGCCCAAAAGTACAGTAGGAGATGACAACAGGTAACCGTGATGATGATGATGATGATGACGTGTGCGCCGTGTCTCGACGTGCCCAGACATGTAATGTAGTGCCTGATCTGGGTATATGGCCATGTTGCTGTAGCTTGCTGTTGGGGTCAGCTAGTTCCAACTGCGATCTGGTGCTTGCTGTTGAGGTCCGCTAGTGCCCACCTGTGATCTGGCCTTTGCTGTTGAGGTCCGGGAGTGCCCACTGTGATCTGGCGTTTGCTGTTGCGCGGCGGAGAGAAGGAGAAGGAGTTGCGGGATCCTCTTCTAAAATCAAACAACAACCCATACCTGACAGGTGGGGAAATAACCCACGCTAAGTTAACGACTAGAAATTTGCGATCAACATCTGGGTGACTTTTCATTGCAGCTGGGATTGAAGATTCATGCAGCAAAAAGCTGAGATATGCCGAGGTACACCGCTGCCCGGCATCCAGTCCTTAATGATGTCCTCGGTGCCAAAGGTGCAGCGACTGAAGGGTGGAAGGCTTTCGAAGATCCAACGGAGGTTGAAGAACCCCATATAGGTACTGCTGGTGACCGGCGTCCCTTTTTCAGGTCACTTCAACTTAACTTCACCTCTCCTGGATGTGGGATAAAACCGTGCCGTACATGTGTTGTTTTTTGTTGCACATGGACTGGGAGACTGCTAGGAGATATCAAGTCCTTTAGCCAATCACGTAAACTACACAGACCTGAAGTATGGTAGTGTAGACGACGTTCATCTAATTATGTCGGACAATAGACTAACAAACACACGGTTTCAGATGGTTTCAGTGCCGCCTGCTTCTCACTTGATACGGTGCCACTGGTTCTCACTTGTCGCTTATGGTCATAGCTTCTTCCGACATGGCAGAGCATCTATCCCTATAGGGATCCAGTCGTACCTTCTCAGGTACGGTGATGTGTTCGACACTGTTATGTATAGGTGCCAGGAGGGTCCAGTCGTACCGAACCTGAGAAGGTGTACGTGCTACACTGCTTATGCCGTGTAGGCCGCGACTTCGAGATAAGGCCCCTGCGGCTGCATTCTCTTTCACCTGGATTTGAATATCAGTGAACCTCAGAGCCGTGTTTTCATGTCATTGCTTCGTGCATCGAGACCGCGGGGGGTTCACCGGAAGCCAACGCAGTGCACTCCTCATCTCCATGGATCAGCACGCCGGACGGCAAAACATGTTGGTTCGGCACTGGAGGAAGGGTTGGAGGTATCGGTGACCCACTTGTGACCTCATGGTTCCCAATCTTGCAACCGGTGAATGTTTAAAATTCACTAGGATTCGTCCAAATTCAGTTAGGAACAGTCATGGAAAAGGGCTACCTCTCCATCAAAGGCACCACAGTGGTAGGCTCCAGTCGCACCTTCGTTTCGTGTGACTGGGGTAAGGCGCCAGGAGGGTCCAGTCATACCGAACCTCAGGAGGTACGCAAACCACCAAGTGAATCCTATACCAGAAAGTTGCAGGATGGGCCAGCGAGCCGACCACAATTCAAGACAGCAACAACCCGTTTATCCGAAGGGTCTTCCACCCAAACCCACCTTGCTGGAGACAGGAGTCATGCCCACTCACCCCAACAAGAGGGGGCTGAAGGAGAAGGGCAAACGGTCGACCCAGGCTTGCTGAGTGCTTTTTTTCTCAGAGAAGAGGATATTTGTAAAACAATCTTTTTGACGCTTGGAGCTCTTCGAAGTAGACTTTGTCAAGATATGCAACGGTGCAAAGTTAAAAATGCGATGACTGCAGTTATGCGTTTTTTGCTTGCCGTTTTCATCCTTTTTCCCTATAGGGTTGCCACCGGTCACGAATCAGGCCCTCCCCGTTCGCTGCTCTCTCCCATTGATTTCGCACACCAAACGCGCTGTTCGGCATCACTGGCTCCCACATGCTGCGACATGTTGCTTCGGACAACCAATCGGACCGAGGTGCAGAAATCTCGGGATGTTCCGAGGTCTTAGACTCCCAAACCATCCATCTGACTGGAAGAATATCATACAGTAATATATGCAACCCCACCCATGGACCCCAGGTCAATCACCCCCAATGTAAATAGGTGCATGGATGGTCTGGGGTTGTTTTGGCATTGCTTCTTCCCTCCTGCAGAAGACCAAAAAGAAGACCAGCCCAGTGGCCCGGCAGCGATCAGCATCGCTCGCCTGGGGGGCAGAAGCCAAGCTAAGCGGTAGCCAAGGTGGGCCCCTCTCGCAAGTGGCTGAGCAAGTACCCAAACAGTCCAAGGGAGGTTCAGAGGGGTTACCGGTTCCTAGGATCGTCGAACGGTCGGGTCCTGAATAACCTCTGTTGGTATAGTTTTTCAGGTCATCGATGTGACCCAACTGCAGTAACTGGTATTCAACACGGGAGCCCTGCGTTGCTTGTTTCAACGAAACCGACCCGACGAGTAAAGGAGCTCAGCGGGTGGTCGCTTGTTCTCCCATCAAATCTCACGCTCAAACTAACAAGGCCGACGGACACCGGACGGTCGCCCTCTCTTTCTTGGACTTGCGACTCCCAGGGAAGCCGGGACAAACATAAAGAATCTTCCCCAGAAGTGGATTTAACGATATAGGGAAAAAAGGTACCTTAGCAAAACCAGGTTTCCAATAAAGCCCTTACCCTACCAACTCAAAGTTGCCTCCCCATCAAGCTGGAGAGGTGTTCAAACTGTTCTCCTCTGGTCCGCCCATGGAAAGGGGTGGGATGGGGAACCCTTTTTGATCCTTTTTGTAACTCTGATCAATGACCAACCTGAATGGAGGCAGTTGGAAGCTTGTAAGAATGATTGGCTCGTGTGCACAATTAGTGGTTGTGAAGGAGAGCTTCGTCTCGTCACGTGAGACGAAGCTCTGGGGGTTGAAAAGGGGGCACATGGATCCTCTGCCACCCCGAGCAGTTTGGGAGGCCGAGTTGGGAGCCTTGAAAGCCACAAGTATCCAGTGTGCATAACTTGATGCACGACAAAGGCAGGGGACGTAACACTGGATGGCACCGCCTGCCACGCAGGTAGGTAGGCTAATACTCGTGATTCAAGATGATTCAACCCTATAGGGCTTCAACCACCTCCGTTTTGAAGGTGGTTGAGGTAGGTGCCAGGGGGGTCTAACTACCGAACCTGAGGATATAGTTGGAGCCCTAGGGCAAGGACACCTGGTTAACCCCACATGGTCACCCACCCTGAGCTGATACTACCACGACCTCACCGTTTCACAGTCGCCCCGCGTCCAACCCCAAACTCAGCGGGCGGCATCTCATCTTCAGCGGAGGCCCCTGCAACCTAAGTAGGCGAGGTGTTTTTTTTCCACAAAGCCACGATGGGGATGAGGCCGAAGGCTTTGTATCTGAAAATTTAGAGAGGTAGCCTGATTTACAGTATGGCCCTGGTATCCTGGAATACCGAGTTAGTCGAACTACAGGTAGGGTTCTGACCCACCTCGGGCTTCGCTTCTTCTCTCCTTTTGGGTCCCCACGGAGATCGACTCATGATGATCATGATCGGCTCTCAACGAGGCGCGCGCGGAGTCGATTTCACCCATGGAGACGAACTGCTGAGTCGTCAACCCCTTTGTAAACGAACTGCTGAGTTGCTGAGCTAGCTAATGGTAAGCAAAGCTTCAGGGGCGGAGGTGAACGTTGAGTGGTCGTAGAAGTGTTTTCACCAACGATTTCAGCGCTCCAACGGTGGCACCGAGAGAATTCTTCGACAGGAGAGAATTCTTTTTCAGCATGCAACCTGAGCTGGCGATGAAGTAACGGACAAAGGGTTCGCATCCAAAGCCGTCCACTCCGGTCAGAAGTGCACCCAAATTGCCATCACATCATGTCAAATGGAAAGGGGGGGGTCGAGCACCAGAATCCTTTTTCCATAAGAATCCTTTTCACCAGATCCTTTCATTATATATTAACTATACCCTAGAAGTCCAAAGACTATTATTTGACTGGCTGAAGTAAAAGAAGGAGGTTCCCTTTCAGGTCCCCTAAAGACAATATTTACTATATATACACAATTTCTTTAATTTCAATGGAAAAGGGTGGGTTCCATAAGAATCCTTTTCACTAAGATCCTCCCGTTTGGGCTCCAGTCGTACCTCCTCAGGTTCGGCATGACTGGACCCGACCCTGGCACCCACCCCAAAAAGCTTCGAAACGAAGGTACGACTGGAGCCCTATAGGATAGATACCTGCAGGAACATCCAACACAACCCATGTGACCCCTGCCTTGGAGCCCAAACGTGGTCGTACTGCCTTGGAGCCTTAGGTACTATATATAGATCGATCAGCAAAGGCCTGAATTTCGATGTCAGGGGTGGCTGGTAGACCTGAAAAGCAAGGAAATTCACCCCAAGAAGCACGAACGAAACAAATCTTCTCCACAACGTGTTGTTTCGCGAGCTTCGTTTCACATGTTCATGACCTGCAGCCATTCCAGAGCTCAACAACCATGCTTCCCATCGTTCCAAGGTACAAGCTCCAAGAAATGCCTTAAGCCACTACGAAAATGAACCTTCATTTCGACGAGCAAAAGGGCGAAACATGTGGATGCCATGTGCATGCACTGGGAGTCCCTGCTCAGCAACTGTAGCTTTGGGCCGTCTTAAGCTCTGTGGGGATGTCGCTCATCCCTTGGTCGGAGGGAGAAGATGAAAAAGTCTCAACAGCGAGAGTTCCAAGTTCCAAATTGGATGGTATGTATACATAGCTAGAACCTGAATGACCTTGATTTTGGACCACCAACCACTCAAAATAAGGTCGTTTCCTATCAAAACAGAGGTCAAATGGGTTCTAGGTATATATATACCGGTTAACGGATTGATGGCACATCCAAACTCGAGAGATAAGATGGCAAGCCAGGGGGAAAAAATGTCCCAAGTCAAAAAATCAAAAAACTGGTGAAAAGTTGCAAAAAGGCACAAAAAGCGCCTGATCTCTTCGACCGGTTTGGTGGCACATCAAAGCTCGGTAGTTAAGATTGCAAACCAGTGAAATATATGTTCAAAATGATGAAAAGCAAAAAACCCAGCAAAAATTGAAAAAAAGGCAGCAACACGGTCTTTTCTCTGCACATGCATGACTGACGGTCATTGCTGGCTCCAACTCCAGGCCAAAGCATTGTGGAGCGCTTCCTCCATGGAAACATCCGAGGACCATCTGAAGGTCTTGCTACAACGGAACCCATTCTCATCTGAAATGAACACCTGAAAACTTGACTCAGGAACACGGCGCTGGATACGGGATCCAGGCGCTAACCCAATCTTGTCCACACTGGGTGTGGACCATGCCCCGGGAGAGAGATAGGATCTGCTGCTGGTTTTTGAATCATCAGCTCCTGTAGGAACTTCAAGCAACACCTCCCATTCACCCGGGTCTGTATCATCTACAGGGGGCGCTCGCTACCTTGCCCACAGCCTGCGCAGCCTCTACATCCTCTGCGCTCAACAAGCCATTCATTTCTTCAATGGGACTTTCCTGGCAAAGAAGCTGTCATTGTCATGCCCATTCTGATGTGGTCTCTGTGCACCAGCATTGTTCTCTCCTTTGCGGAATCCAGCGCTTCTGCTGAAGCTGTCCAGATCCACTTGGCCGTCACTTGTGACAGCGCGTGGTCACTCATGGTAGCAGCCGTCAGTGAATTCTTGAATTCACTGATGCCTATAGCTTTCTCTAGTCACCTATCTATGATCCCCAATATGCCATGTGTGTGTGTTGCACCAGCCACACCTGACTACTCTTTTGTACACACATATATATATATATATATCAATCTATATATGCACTTTTTTGCTTATCAAATCTTATCTATGTTCAAGTGTTTAAGCTTGACTCACCCTTGAGCCCGCTACATCAAAGCTTGACAAATGCCATCAATGGGCTCGGTGTGTCATGCCTATATACATCATGATTCATATCGCAAATTCAATGCATATATGATGGCACACACAAAAAGCACATCTGAGTGTATATGATGGCTCCTCACAATGTGCCATCTATACGGTCAGAAGCCCTTTCATATGCCGCTCCGCAGGAAAAAGTAGCATATGGAGCACTTTTACTTGTGCCATCTTTTTGTGAAGGAGTATATATATATATATATATATCCCTAGGGATCCAGTCGTGCCTTCTCATGGACCCTCCTGGCATCTACATTACAGTGTCTCCTTCCTCACCGTACCTGAGAAGGTACGACTGGATCCCTACTAGGGATATACTCCCGTCAGTGGGTGCATGATGAAAAGGCGGAAACTCCCGTCAGTGTTTGCAATCTCTGCTAAAGGAGGTGTTTAGATTTGGTCCGGCAACGGTTATATAGGTGCACGAATGTTCGTACCGGCCCTCATGGATTGAGATTACATGCATGCAGTAGGAAAACTTGTCTGACTTTCTACAGTGCAGGTACCGAACATTTATGATGAAAATTCAGCTTTCATGCTCATCTTGATGCAACACATGCAATCAACTACCAGTCCACCCGCAGGTGGCCAAGGACAAAGTGTAAACGCCTTCCCTTTAGTTTCCTGGTCGAACCTATGAATTTTTTGGAGCCTGTGTTCGGCAACTTGTTGTTGTATGGTTGGCTGAGTGAAAGTCCAACTCCAAATACCTATGAGGAACACACACGAGGAACAAACATTCTATAATCATATATAATATTATATAATCATTATCATTGTATCTATCTATATGATATACTGATGGACACATCTTGCACCATCTAAGCCAGGGAAACTGTGGCACAAATGGTGTTTCCTGAGGTTCCAAGTGGTGATTGAACTTTTCCATCAACAGTTGAAGGCTTGGAAGAATGAGTTGTGCCGAACAAGTATATGAACCCATGGTTTCATGATACTTGCTACCAAGTGGTTAGCCTCTGTATCTCCTGGGGTCCCTGATGGATACCGCCGGCGACCCGGGCTGTCACACCCTCTTACTGTAACCACCCACATGTAATGAGACGTGCCTCGCTGCAGAAACATCTCAAGTAGACTCAGGCCTATAGTTACCTGCACATACTCCGGCACTGGCTTTTGATCGTCTCCCTCAAGAATACCCGGGGCAATAAAGGTTGCATTGCTGCTTAGCCTTTGTCTGTTCATTGCCAATGGGGAGACCAACCCCCGAATATATTTTATAATTTATAATATCATACAGTATATATAAGCGATTAAAGGGCCTTGCTGCAAAGGTATGGTGAATAGGACGTCAGTCAGTCCCTTCCTTCTGGGGAACCTTTAAGGATCTACAGTTCCTCTACAAAATCGGGCCAAAAACCATGCCCCAAGTTGCAATTCCAAAGGTTGAAGCACCCTATCGACCCTCCCAGTTCGGTACCCCGGGTTTTCCGGATCCTGGTCACTGGATACCTCTGTTGCTTCAGGAACCGCGACGAGTTCCATCTTCCGGGATTGGGAATTAAGCAGCAGTCCGTTACCACGCCCGAGAACCACGCCCGGAACCGCAGCCGAGGCTTCGAGCGGAGGACGTCTGAGATGGAAACACGCCCCCCAGGAACCAACACCTGGTGAGGTTTTCAGCCATCCGAAGGGTGAATCAGCAGCACCCGAAAGGGCTGAAATGAAGACTTCCAAGTGGCAAGTGGTGGCGGTGGGGCTACACTTGAGAGGGTTGTGGCAGCTCAGTCGTGGCTTGATTGTATAGGGACACACGAGACTGCCGCTACACTCCATCGGCTTAAATCACAAGTTTCATAAAATGTTTGCAAAAATGGGTTGTGCTTAAACCGTCCCGGAGATGTTCTGAGAAGGGTATACCACGCACATGCTGGGCCCGCAAGTCCCCCTGGATTTGCGGCTGGTGCACCTCCAAACGATGAAGTTTCAAAGTCATCGTTCACTTTAAACGGTCATTCCACGGGAAGGTATGGGAGGGCATTCGGGAAAGGGAGTCAGCTTCGTCACTAGCTTCGTCAGTTCGCGGAGTTCAAGCCAAATCAAACCCACAAACTTTTGATTCTGAGTAACAAAGAAAAGCACCATCCCGGCAAGAGACCCCAACCAGTGCGTCTAAAGGTCTAAGGTCTAGAGCCTAGAGGTGTACAAACAAAAGGTCTAGAGATCTAGACGCATAGGTCCAAAGAAAAGGCGATGGTGGTGATCAAGGTGATGGCGGTGGGGTGCTGGCGGCAACGGCGGTGATGAAGGTGGCGATGATGGTCGTGATGATCCTGCTGCTGATGGTGGTAGTGATGGTGGTGATGGTGGTGGTGGTCGAGGTGGTGGAGATGATGGTGGCGGTGATGATGACGGTGGAGATGGCGGTGGCAGTGGTGGTGGTGCTGCTGCTGGTGGCGGTGGCAGTGTGACACTGATAGGTCTAGAGTTTTAAAAGGTGGAGAGAGACGTCAAGGGATCTAGGGCTGGAGGTCTAGAGGGCACACGTAGGAGAACACACACACTTAGTCACAGAGTCATAGGGTTTGCAGTTTCCATAATCTCCAAGGAAAGGAATGGTGGTGGTGATGGTGGTGGTGGTGGTGGTAATGGTGGTAATGGTAATGATGGCGCTGGTGATAACATTGAGTGGTGATGCTGATGGTGGTGGTGAAGGTCCAGGTACAGAGTTCTAGAGGTGTCTGAGAGATGTCTGAGAACACATATGAGAGCACATTTGCTGCGCCTCCCAAGAAATCAGCGCTTCAAGGACCAAGCACTGCCCCTGCCACGAAATCTGCGCTTCAAGGTCCACAAAGTACTGCGCCTGCCACGAAATCTGCGCTTCAAGGTC